CCGTATGTAGAATTTTTGAGGAAAATGGTTTTGATAACAAGATTAAATTTGATATGTACACATCAAAGTAGGGTTCCATATCATCAAATTCTCCCAATTAATCATACAATAAATCTCAATTCCTTCAAAAATAACATGAATTCTCTGCCATGTCACCAGGTATGGCTCTGGCCAAGAAAAACCAGCTGTACAGCAACCATGTGACAGCGTGGAATGAGGTGTGGAAGAAAGGAAGGATAGATGTCTCAGACAACAAAGGTCTGGCCAAGTCTGTCTACGGCTGCCTCTACTACATCCTCAGCTCCTTGCCTCTGAAGGAAGACACTAACTGGCCTTTTATAGGACTGAGTCCGGGAGATCTGGCACACGGCGCGTACAAGAAGGTAAGATATGTTTGAAGTGTCATTTTGTTATAGCTTATTCCTTAAAATGGCAGAAAATCATTTGTGAGAGGTGATAGGCCCTCAAAGACAAATGGATTAAATTAAAGCACTTTGCACTTGTTACAGCCTGTATGATGGTACGCCAGAATATATCTACCTGTAACAGGGATGAGATATAAATCTTGGTTAGACAAGGATGACAGGGTCAAATTGAGGCCATCTGGGTCTTTCAAAAGATGGTCAGATTTTCAAGTTTACATTGACATGTATCTAATTTTTTCTGTCGGAAGGTGGTCAAAAATGGAGGATGATTCAACAAAGATTATTTTGAAGACTGTCAGAAAATATCTCTGGATGATGTTATCTGAATTATTTAATCTGAGCATTTGAGGCTGTTTTCTTGTAAATCAGTGATTAAAAATTGTTAAGGTTTTTAATATCAGTCAAGTTTCAGTCTTGTGCAGGTTTTATAGACCGTATTTCCTTTCTTTTTATAATAACAGAATATTAGATATTGTCAATACTCAACAGGGGATTATTGAGGTTTGATAACTTTGAGATAAGAGTTATCAGATATGATGATTTGTTCATGGATCTGGTAAATGTAAAACTTTGGGAATTCATTCTTACTTATCATGCCTGTTGATACTAGGTTCGTGTTATGCGATGATTTTTGAAAATATATATTCTGATTTTTTATTATCATCAGATTATTTTGACCAAGGTATCTTTGTGCAATGTGCAGTGTGTGGCCAAAGTTTATCATAGTTGATGCTGATTATGGAATTTCATCATTGATGGCCAGTTGTAGTAATGGTGTGGTTTAAAATTTAGTTGTGATTACACCATGATTTCATACATATTAACAGGTTTGCCTGGAACAAATTGAACCTTTATGTTTATTATTATCATATTATTATTATATTCTACCACTTTTCATCAGACCGTCATCATCTGTTCAAATTATAGTCAACAAAATATGGTAAATATTACTGAAACAAACCCTGTCTTTCCTATCTCATCACCAGGACTATGAAGGCCATGTGTTCTGGGACCAGGAGACCTGGATGTACCCTCCTATACAGATGTTCTTCCCTGACCTGGCTAAGATCATGTTAAAGACCAGGACTAGAACTCTAGATGCAGCCAGGCATAACGCCATACAGAAACGTCTGAAAGGAGCCAAGTATCCGTGGGAGAGTGCCTTCACAGGTGAGTGCAGTGACAGAGGAAATGTCTTGTTCTTTTATCAACAGGCACCCAAAGACCCAATTTATGATTACAAGTGACAGAATTTTATTAGTTTAGATAAAATTAGTTCTTTTTTTGTAACTGTATTGAAAATATTTATAATGGTTGCACTACTAGCTTGCAAACCAAGCATTTGGATGTCAAGTTTTTTGCTTCTTATTCTCAATATTATGATGAACACATGGCATGCATTAAGAATTATGGAGCACGGGACTGCTGCTGTTATGGTGTGGAAGAATGAATTTCATTGTGAACATTATTCCTGTAGGTGCAGAGACCAGCCCCAGCAATGATACAGCCACATATGAGATCCACATTAATGGAGACATCTCCCTCGCTGTCCGCCAATATCTGTACTCTACTTGGGATGTTGATTTCCTGAAGAACGAGAAAGGCTTTGATATGGTACTCGGTATTGCTGATTTCTGGGAGTCACGGTCCGTTGTTGGAAAGGGAGGAAAACTGGAAATACACAGTGGGTTGAAATTTTGATTTTGATATTTATTTCTACAAGAAAATGCTTATTCATGATCTCTTCTCATGCTTAGAACTTTGAGTTTTTTTTAACATTAAGTGTCATGAGAAATATTAATATATGAATTATTTTTACTGCACCCAAACTTGTGTATTAAGCTGAGACTTACTTTTCTTTTCTTAGCAGAAAAGATAAAAATTGTTCTAGTTGTAAAATAGCTTTTGCAGACACAAACTCTGAGATAGTCAGTTATTACATGTGGTCAGGTGCTTGTCCTGTACACAGTCCCACATAGAGCAACAGGTGCTCCTTGCCATACCTGACCAATTAAAAATTTAGTCTAGTAATCTATATAAATGTTTGCTTGATTTTATACTGCATTGTCATGGATCACATGCTTCAGTGTGACTTGGAGCAGATTCAGAACAGTATTAAGAGATCTGTGGATTAAATATGGTGACCCACTAAAAACTTGCCGGGGATTACGCAACAAGCAGTCAAGTTGGTTGACCATATTTGATCCGTGGATCTGTAAGTTCTGAATGTGCACTATCTATGCCTCTGCCTGTGTTCTAGGTGTGGATGGCCCTGATGAATACCACTTCAATGTGAACAACTCAGTGTACACTAACTATGTAGCCAAGATCAGCCTAT